CAGCTGACCCTGTGATACTCATGGCAAGCTGGCTGTCTGGTTCCATGCTCGGACATGGTATATGATTAATTAGCAAATAAATTGCTAATAATAAATACATTCATTTTCCAGTTGAATGATTACATCCGTCATTGAAGGTGAGTGTTCCCCAGTACAGTCGCTAATCGCTCTTTCTCTTGACTTTCCACCTACTGATGGGTAAAGAAAGGGATAGGTCAATGAGGGACTGTGGAAACTTTAAAAGGTTGATGCGGTGTAACGATGGGATTGGGATAGTGGTAAACGTAAGTTGAGTTAAAAAACAAAACCATAGTTGTGTTTAAGGGTTGTGGCTGTTTCATGCTGCACAGAGGGAGCTATAACTTATCTGCTCAGCTCATAGTTTTGGTGCAGATCGGAGGTCTAGCTCACTCAGGGTTCATTAGAGAGAGAGAGAGGCGGGACAGAGATCTAAATTAGAGTTCAATTATAAGCACACTGCCCCTCGTGACCTCCTTAAAAATCAAAACACAACATTAAATTGAGCCATGGGGTGTCATTCCAAGGTTTGCTAGTATTACAAAGAAATAGTTAGTTCTTTAAAATGCCTCTGTTAGATCGTAATATTTTTTTGTCAGGAAGTTGGTTTAAACTTTAGTCATTACTATGACATTTAGAGATTCAGTGAGTAAACCTGTTGACCTTTTCTAGTTACCCTAACCCTAACTGTAACAATAATATTTTTCTTATTTCCCCAAAGCCTGTTTTCAAAGGCTTACCCCACAGGAATAAAATATTTGCATAGGGGAAATGTTATAAACAATTGTGTTTTTTATTGAACATTATAAATGTACATTACCAGAGACATTAGAGGACATCAGTTATATTTTAAACATCTAAGTACTGTAAGTATGTGGGAATATTAAATTGTGTTAGCTGAGCATTAAGAGCAGTTGAATACAACCATATATGGACTTAAATAAGGAAAGATCAAGTTAAAAAGGTGCCACTGTTTTTGATTGAATGTGTTGCACCAGTTACCATTGGCCCTGTGCAGCATCCTTTGTCACAATGAAGCTTTTCTTTTTTTAAATCAAAACATGCCACAACATAAATAAATAGTCTATCCTATCAAACCTTCTAAAGCTGATCTACATAACTGACTTTAAATCAGCCTATAGATGTGAATCTCATATCGCTGTTAAGCTCTTTAAGAATATTTATTTTCTATATACGCTATTTCTACCAACAAATACCACCTGCAAACCCGATAGACCCCACAGCAGGCCAACATCTGTAATGACAAGCTAGGTCAAGCCTCAGCTCTGCCTGAAAGGTTTGACCCTTGACCCCTCCAGGCATTATGTCTGCCTCTAGGGTGGCTTATCATTGCTCCAAAAAGCTGATATTTCCCACCCAGGACAAAGACTGGTAAAACACAACGTAACCAGTCGGGTCCCCAGACAGTGCGTCGGAACAGAGTAACAGCATCCCCCCATTTAAATGGTTGGACAGTTGTTGGCCTGTATTGTCTGAGCATGAAACCAGGGACACATGTTGGGTGGTAAAAGTGTCAAGGCCTGACTGAAGGGCCATTGTGTCGCTTTCCAGTGGTAGCAGTCGGGCTTTGTTCCCTGTGTTGTTCATCATTAGCATATCAATATTCAAAGGGTCTGATGCCGGGCAGAGGTGGCAGCCTTTTTAGCCTAGAGTAGACCCTCATGCACAAATAAAGAAACCTGCATTCGACTCTGAAGGACCAGCTGTTGAGCTAAGCCCATACAGATAAGAAGTATAGGGGATTCATAGAGCTGACTTTGAGTGTTTGTCCATTTTCTATTTTCTTTAAGTTCCCAAATATCCTTTCCAATGTACGGTACATTTGAAGCACTTTTGAAACATTTCTCCCATTCTCTTGGGTGAATAACAAAGGGCTAACTGGTGTCACCCATTCCACCCCTCACCACCCCTCCAGCAAGCCTCCCTCCCCTTCCTCTCCTCCAGCCAGCTGACCCCACGACTGGTAGGCCGGAGGACAGTTAACCTTGTGTGTTATTGTGTGCGTGTGTGAGTGAGTGTGTTGGAGGGGCAAAGCCACCAGATAGTGTCGGTTACTCCGAGGGCCAAGCGGAAAAGCGGTTGGGCAGTTTAGCCAGCTGCTGGGGGAGCGAGCCACGGCAGGCCTGGTCAGTGAAACCTTGCCAGATGGAGCCATTTCAAAACAATGAGAGCTGCTTGCTCGGGTTGAAAACTAGAGGCTGGTTGCTCAGGGGACGCAGAGGGCGGGCCTTTATCTACAGTATCTACACCCTGTGCTTTGGTTTGCATTATCGGAAAAATTGTCTTTTGGTCAGCAACTTATTCCAGCAGAAATGTTGTATTTTTAAGTTTCAGTTGCTGATTTTGTTGACTTATTTCTCTGGCAGCAAGTGATTCAATCTGATCCGATTTACCCATCTATATAATGTTACATTATATTAGTCTTCCACTGTTGAGGTTTGTTGTTCAGATGCACAAGTCATTCTCTTGCCGTCTTTGACATCATCTTGCTAACTATTTATTTCTCCAAATATTTTCTCTCACTCTTCTACACACAAGTTTGCTCTCCTTATCTCTATCTCCAGACAGCAACAGGCTGAGTGTCCTGGGACTACTCCGCTTAGGAGTAACCAAGCCTGGGTAATGAGGCGTGTGATTGGTCCCCTCCCTCTTGAACAAGGCCAGTCTTAGCAGCACATGATTGATCATGACAGCAGCACAATGGTAGCCTGGTGTCAGAGGGGTGGCATGGGTGCACATGGACCCCCCGTAGTAACACTCAGTCACCCAAATCAGTTACACACACATGCGCACACACACATATTCACATGTATGTGCATAATTCAGGACAGCACAGAGGCACTTGTTGACGTATGCAAAATGTAAAATGACAAGTACAAAAAAAACAAGATCATGTGCCCCAATATGTTTATTATAATGCATAAGAGGCCACACCGGCAGACTGATCAATTTAAATAAATTCTGTTCGGATCTGAGAAACCTCCCTCTAGAGACAGGCAGTGTATTATAGGAGCTTGTAATCAATATATTGCATTCGTCTACTCGAACTTTTGTCATAAGTTAAGGCCTTTGATGGTAACATTTCTCTCTTCTTGAAAATTGTCTTTGCAGTTCTTCTCTTCTGAGTGCAAAAATACAAACATAAGCTGAGATAAATGCTCCACATGAAAAACAACAGATCTCCGTAAAGATTTGTATTCGTAAATCCATTGTCTTTTCAGGTGAGTGCCCTGAAAACAGAGCTTTCATGTGCTGCATACCATTTGTTCTTTTCAAGAGACCCTTAAGGGCCAAGGCTTGTCTCATCCACTTGAGAGCCTTTTGAACCTGCTCATATTCAAGGTTATAACATCAAGTTCCAATAGTTGCAAATGCTGAATATGAATAGAGGACCCTTACTGGCTGATTGCAGCTGCTTTCTCAAGTAGTTCCCAGGTGTTTTAAATCTTTACCAATTTTCTGTGATGATGCTCTAGGTTTTGCAGAGGACAAACACAACAGGATAAAAGCCTTGGCCTGTTTTCAGGGTTGGCTCATCATGATATTCATGCAGTGTTACAAAACAACTTCACATTTGTATTGCTAATTGCTGATTAGTGTATCCCTAAAATGTCTTCTTAAGCAAATAGTGTCTTTTAATATAAGCAATGGGTTTGTTGTTAATGTTTATCAAAATAATATTGATTATGATTCCAACAATTTCAGTGAGGGTTATTTGAGATTTCTATTTGAAAAGGTTTTAAATGTGCATGAGTCACTACTATGCCCATCTTAACCATGCACTGCGTTAAATTGCAAAGACTCTCTCTCCTCAACGCAGGCTTGTTGTTGTTCATGTAGTCTAATTTTATTTGCTACAGTGGCTTTAGGTTACTCTGTACATCTCCTTCCAGATTTACAAACAGTTTTCGCTTAATCTGCGTAAAGATCCACACTGACTTGTTGACCAGAGATTACTGCTCATGAAAACACCCAAAATGTGCTTGTTATCCTTGAAAACAAATATCCACTAGATATAGTTTTTTTTAAACCATGCGTTTGTTGTGGAATTGCTGGAATGAGGGAGAGAGGATGTTGAAGTACAATGACTAAAGAATGATTTATTTACAACTTTGTGAGGCTAATTGCCCTGAATGGACTAATGAACAGCACCGATCTAATTGGCTTACAGCTCTTGTGGCCTGGCGTGCTGGGCGAGTAAAATTGAATCAAAGCTGTAGGACTCCGTCAGAGTAGTTTTGTGCGCTGTGGTGGTAATTGGCGCAGTGTCAAAGGCATGTAGCATGGCACTGAGCCAAAATTTAGCCCAGCTCTGCACAAGCGCGTGAATTCAAATATTGTAAGAATGCATTAATTTCATTGTTTCTAAGAAAGAACAAAAGAAAGGTGTTACAAATTAACCTCTGTGCATTTTAATATTTTAACTCGTTTTTTCCACTTGCACCTAACCGTAATCATAGGTAATTCTTTCAAAAACAAGAGTATTTTAATTTAGTTAGGTAAAACTAGTACGTGTCAATCATTGTAAACTATTACCAACAGTTAAGAGGCGCAGCTAATATAACGGTATGTATGCTATACCTTACAACAGTAATGATATACGGTCTATTTTTAAACAAACAAAAGAAAAACGCAGCGATACAAATGCAACAATGTCCCAAACACTGCCCAATTGCCCCATTGTGCCCCGTGAAAGACAGACACGTGCACCAAAACATAGATAAGGAGAGAAGAGGGAGGGGGGGGGGGGGGGGGCAAGTGTTTGTGTCTGTGTGTGCGCGTGTGCGAGTTCTTAAAGATAGCCACGGGGGATGTAGGAGCACACACGCCTCCAGTGAGAGAAACTCCCCCTTCAGCACCCTGGACAGAGGCAGCGCTGCCCGCCGGGTACTTGAGTATTTCAGTAAGGTCTCAGGCAGCCGGGCTCACAGTCAGGTCAGCTGCTGATGGTCAGACACTTTTCCACTGCCACACGCCCCTTGTTTTCACCCCACCTCGAGCTTATCCACGCGGAATCAAAGAGCAACTTGATGAATATTCACAGTTTACGTCCTCGGTGGCTGACGAACCGTGAAAGGTCGACTGGTTTTCTTTTTAACATTTTTTTAGAAATCGAGCTGCCTTCGAATCGATCTCAACTCCAGAGGATACATCTCCAGGAAACTGCCGGTTTGAGTCCATCGTCGCAGTAGTTTGATTTAATTTTTTACCACAGGCGTTTCGACGCTGCTTTTCTTCTGTTGGGACATCGGAACATCTTCAAAATGTTGCTTGAACACCCGGGGTCAAGCTGTCAAAGCACCGGCAATTTCTCCCGGTACAGTTCAGGACAAGGTAAGAAAACCATTTTAACTAATCACACTGCACATGCATTAAAATGTGGGTTTAGGGGAAGAGCCAGGCAGAGATGAATATTAATTGATGTCCTGGGGTCAGTTAATGAGTTTCAAGTGGCGTGAAAATGGAGGATAATACATCAGATCAGCACAGCAGGCTCTCTGAAGGCGGCCCTTGTTTTGCTCAGTGAACTCTGACAAGCGTGAAATAGACCTTGTTAACTGGTTTTATCCTATTTTGGAAAGGCACTCACTTTAACTTTTGATAATTTCTGTATTCCAAATATTCTTTTTGTAGACATTAAAAAAGTGAGAAAAAAAATACAAAGAGTTGAAGAAAACAGTCTGGTATCCACCAACCCATGTTGATGTATACAGAATATTTAGAGGCGCTTTCTTTTGCGCTGCGTGTGGGAGACGTTATGAATCTGTAATGAGCCTTCATTGTTGGAGAATCACACGAACAGATGTTATGCGCGTGCTGTCATTTCACGCCACCGCTTGTGGTTGTAACGGGAGTGCAGGCTGGGTGCAGGGAGCAGATACGGAGACCACCGGACCCCCCTGGCTCTATCTGCCAGCAGGCGCGGAGCAGCTCCCCCCCGTAGTCCACCGACCCGAAATGCTCAACAGGTGTCACATTCCTGCCCTGACAGGTGGGACACCTGAAGTTGGAAGTGAAGGTGATGATGCTTCACGGAAAAAGTACAATTATTGGAGACTTGTATAATTATTTACTGTCGTCCAAAGCTGGAAAATACATGTTTTATTTAGTTAGGCGTGTTACTCGAATTATCTTTTTTGTTATTTTAAGGCTGCATTCATAAGGCAACACAAAACTACATTCATTTGATTTAAAATATAGGAGTGTTAAATTATGGAGAATACAACTCAAACATATTTGTTAAACGGGTTATCTAATTTATTTGAGCCAAATACGAAAATGTAAATTGAGACAAGAAAAAATAAAACGAAAAACGTGAATTTACCTGATCATTCTTGTGTCTTTCTCTAACTGACTGACCCTTTCTTTGATGGTCATTTTATCGCTTTGTTGTTGCATTACTGCCGGGCTCACCCCCTCAAAAGTGAGTGATCAATATGACATAAAAATATTACAAAGCTGAAAGTAAGAGGGGCACCCATGAACCCCGCACCTTTCTCCAAAACGTCTTTCATATACTTCTAAAATGCAGGCAAATAGGACATTGATTTTGGATTCATCAGCGGCCCGGCTGCTGTGGCACTACCTGTGATTTCCCAAGGCGCTCTTTTGTGCCAAAGATCAGTGTCAATAAAATTCATTGGGGTGTTGGCCCGATCAACATGTTATTGAACAGCCAATCTCTCCCCTAAATAAACACTTGTCTTTGAGCACATGAGATGAAGATTGTGTGTGCGTGAGGCCGTGTTGTGTGTGTACCATATTCGAAATTACATTGTTACATCTGATCAGAACATCTGATGTATGCATTGCTTTATTAGCAAGTATAACAGTTGTATACTGTTATTGGAATGTTGTGTAATAATGTTTAATAATAATATAGACAAATAAAACCATGTATTTTGTATCTTCTTCCAAGGTAGAAATAATGTTACCTGTTTGTTGAGTAGAGCGATTATTTGAGAACAATTGTTTGTTTTATGTTCTGCGGGAAATAATATTAATTAATGAAAAAGGCAAAGGTTTTTAAAAGACCTCTCCCATCAGGGCCCAATCTTTCCTTTGCGCATGGCAGAGCTGGAATCCGAATTAAAAACGGAAAGCCCAGGCGAGTCCTCTCCACACACTCACATTATGAGTCAACAACATAATGGTGTCTAGTTCCCTGGATTTTTTTGAGGCTGTGGATCGAGTTCGTTTTGTTGTTTTTAAGTGTTCATTTGCATCAGTTCTAAGTCCACGCAGGGATCATTAACATTTTATATCATAAGTGTCTATCTTAACTAATGCCATGTTGAGCTTCTAACTGAAAACAGTTAAGAAAATATATCGCATTTACTCCTGTATACCGTTATCAATTACATAATATTACCATTTTACCTTTTTTCAAAGTGGTATTTGCATGCATATATAACTCTCATAGCATGATCACTGTTTATTTCTGTTTACCTTTTGTATTTATCATTTTATATATTATCGAAAAAAGGGCAATCATGTCGTCCAATCTAGTGGTGAAAATGCATAGATCTCTTGAGTTTCAAAGTGGATGTTACTATATTTCAGTTGCAGTTTGGTAACAAAATAAAAATAACAGACATGATTCTATATATTTTTTTCATCATTTTGACGAGTTATAATAGTATCTATATACCACAACAGTAAAACTCTATTGGTTATTCCTCTCACCTCCTGCATGTGTATTCCTCTTCCGGGTAGGGTACTCGGTAGGTGATGTTAATCTATCTGCCTGTCGCCCAGGAAACGGCGCAGCGTAATCCAGCACAGGCTTCAACTCAGTGAAGCATAAAAGCAAACTCCACTGCGCGCTCGTGTTCGCTTTTGGGCTCCTGGTACACCCATTTGACAACACTTGATTCCTGCATATGCGTGTGGATATAAACCAAACAAGATATATTTGATTTAATATAATCATGAGCAATGGATGGACATGGTGATCGCAACTCTCTAAAAGAGACACCAAAAAACACGGAGATGCTCCTTGCTTTGCTGTCGCACAGTGAGGAGCTACTGAAAGGTAACCGGAAGCCAACATTTAATCAATTTGTTCGTTTTTGCATTGTTTTGCTTGCATATGTTGTAGCTATACTGTAGCGTATTTGGGCCTTTGCTATTGGCTGTAGTTGCAGTTTGTTGATAATATTTCCATCATGGTAAATTAGTGTTTACTATCATGGATAATGAATGCTGTGCAGTGGCTTTAATTCCGGCAAATTGTCCTGTCGAGCGAAACCGTTTTACAGCTGGTGAGACAGGACATGTGCCATTTGAGTTGCTCCAGATCTTTTACGCATCAGGCTTTTATTTGACCTTTGATTTATCTGAATGATCGTTCAAATGTACATGTATCATATTTTATATTTAGTGCTCTTTTTTGGAGGCTTACTCCAGGGAAATTGTTTTTACGCATTGTTGAGTCTTACCTAAAGCTTTTTGGTCACGGTCCTGACGGTTTTATTGAAGAATACATGTTCTTGCTAATACGTTTCTGTATACTATATATATACGTTTTTCTAGGAGCTTTGGTTGAATGGTGGTATGTTTAATATTAAGAGACCCCAATGTGTTCATTTACACAGGCCCATTCTCAGCACGACATTATGTGATTCATCGAACCTCACCTGCTCCAACGTTACATAATGTACATTTACGCACGAAATTGCCATTTGGATATGCATGCATGTTTATTTTTAATCTTCCAAGTGGGCCCATTAAGGCGAACAATTTGCTTGGACACCTTATTGGTTTTACCTATAGGCCGCAGCTTTCTAGTTTTACAGCGCGCACTGAATAAATGATGGCCTGTGTACACCTGTTCTTGACGGGGCTCCCACCAGCACACTTGTGCAGTGTTTCGCTGGTGATGCCAGAAGAAATGGTTCATTAATGTGCCATGAATTGTCTACAACAGAACAATAGGAACAAGACTCCTTGCACGGATAGAATATAAAGTGCTTGAGCATTATTCAATTAATAATGAGGAGGACTGATAACGTCATACTTGGCATACAGATTTCTCTCTTTTTTCAAAGGTTTAATACAGCGTTTCTCTTAATCACTCGTTATTGTGTTAAAATATCTCAAATGGAGATTATTTTCTATATATTGTAGGCTTCTCTGTCTGAAACTGACCTTGCAAAAATATCCTACTGCTTGTTAAAGATGATGACACGTGACAAAATAAAAAACAGCCGATCACCACTCGATTAACGAGCTATTAATTCCCAAGATGATCCTGAAGCTTACTCCTCATTTATGGATATCAAATGCCTTTTCTTTAAAGAATCCTGCTAACTTTGATCTGTGCTGTTGGATTTATGTGAATGTATTTTATTCTAGTAAAATCGTTTGGCAGAATAAGCTCATTTCGATATAAATCTCAAAAAGTGTGGTGGTCTGCTATCGCTACAATTCTCTCTGATATCCATATGTATTCAGAATCATTCTAAAGCATGTTTCAAACACATGAAACGTTTTTTTCCACGAAAATGTAAAATTAAACAATAAGATGACTAAGTTTAAATCATAGACTTACGTTTTTTTCTTTTTCGATCACAGTTTAGTATAACCGAATAACATAGGTATGTGTATTATGTAATTGGTAAAGTCCCTTCTCAAACATTTTTGTTTGACGGACGTTACAAATATCTTTATGTTTTCAGTTGTTTAATGTTGGGTTGCGTTTGACTGTGTGCAATACAATTATGATTATGATCTGGTATTATGGTAGTTGTTTTGATAGATTTGGTAGATGAATTGATTTTTGGATATAGGTAATGTATCAAATACAATTTGATATCATTTAATTTATAGATTAAAAAAATACTACCAAACAACCAAATATTTCAAACATTAAAAAAAAGACAAGAAGGTGAGTCATTGTTTAGATATATATTCATATTAATTTCTGATTTGAAGGGTGACGTCACATTTGTGAGCGTCCGTCTTGCATAATTAAACGTGTGTACATTAACAGATAATTACTTTAAGTACGCGTAGACATATTAAGGACAATAAGCTGGATCAGATGTCACTCAGTAAAATGTTTCCCCATGCAAGTAACTGTATCTAATATAAATTGAATTAACCAAAACGATTCCATCATGTCTCCTGCAGAAATCCCAGTATGTGCAGGCTGCAATCAACACATCGTGGACCGCTTTATCCTCAAAGTGCTGGATCGCCACTGGCACAGCAAGTGCCTGAAATGCAGCGACTGCCAGGCGCAACTGTCCGAGAAGTGCTTCAGCAGGGGCGAGAGCGTCTACTGCAAAGAGGATTTCTTCAAGTGAGTAGAACAACTATTATATAACTATTTTTTTTTAAATACATATTTTACTATTTATAATTCATTGATCGAAGGTTATTATGTATTGATGAAAAACGTCTAATTTCCAAAAGGAGATTCGGGACCAAGTGCGCAGCCTGTCAGCAGGGCATACCGCCCACACAGGTGGTGAGGAGAGCGCAGGACTTCGTGTACCACCTGCATTGCTTCGCCTGCATCGTGTGCAAAAGGCAACTGGCCACAGGTGACGAGTACTATCTGATGGAGGACAGCAGGCTCGTGTGCAAAGCCGACTACGAGACCGCCAAACAGAGAGGTGAGGAACAAAATGCACATCTTCACATTTCTGTTTGTGACCTGAAAATTGCGTCATTTTCAGACCAAACCCCGATGCGTTTGTATGCACACTTGTTTTTTAAGTACCTGCTCTGAGTTGTGAGTCAGACGTGACAATGAGGTCACCCATAAAGCCTGACCCACCTGCGCTAATTGCGTCGTTGCCTGCAACCCAATCGATAGCAAACTGCGTAAAGTGGAGGCCTGGAGGCTTCCACTTGCACTCTGCGCTGCAAGGAATCAACTTTCAATAACTCTTATTACAGTATTGTGTGTGCCTTCCGGAGTAAGGACAGACCTAGAAATGTAGTATATGAGAATCTAAAATTAAGAAACAATGTATTATTATGTTTAATTGTGTTAATGGTGCTAGAATTGTTTGAGCTATTATGAATCTCTGAATACTTTTAAATGAAACGTGCAATTTAGCTCAATTAAAATGTATACTTTAATAGTTTTTCTCTTAAAATCTACATTTGCAGTACATTCACCCTGTATGCTTTTATAGGAACTCTCTCTAAACATTAAATGAATTTTCATATTAACTCATATTAATACTTTCTTTTAAAATGTAATAAATGTTCCTTAGAGCAACATTGCACACAAGTTGTGAACAATCAAGTGGCAAAAAGTTCCATTAAGCCATTTTATCAAAAACATATTTTTACCCAAGAAATGACATATCATTGTATTAATATAGTCATTTGAACCTCAATGATAGCAAATAAATAACAATTATATCAAGTGTTTAAACCAAACTATGATCACTTCTTTATGCATCTACCAGAGATAGTTAATTTGCAGCAGTTACTCACATGTGCTGTTGAGAAATAGTTAATAACATTTCAGATTTTCTTCCAAAGTTATTAAATGCACAACATTTTTCTTTAAAACCCTGACCAAACAACCAATGCCACAGTATCTTCCCAGCAGGCTGTGCTCCTGATAGGGCAGAGTTTTTATCTCCCCATCTGTTTGTTTGAATTTACTGCCCAGCACCAAGTGTTGATTTACGCAGCGAGTTAACGCAAGTTTTCACTAAAAACACACACGTTTATTTTACTAATGAGAGGGCGCAATTACTTGGGCAGCATCCATTTGGATGATGGTTTTGTATTTTGCTGTGCTGGCCAACAGATGTGCAGACATGATGCAATTATGCACAGGAGGCCAGAGTGTTGGTTTATAGGCAGTGCAGAATTTATCCTTTTTTATGATAAATTATAAAGTTTATATGATACGGGACATTTATGCTATGAGTTGCTGTGAATGTGTGTTTCTATAAAAATGTAAGGTCACTTTAATGATCCAAAGATACAAATCAAGAGTTTATCCCAGGCAATCTATATGGAAAGTTGATAGTAATATTTGTCTTATCATAATTTTCCATGGTGTTGCATTTAATTGAAAGTATTAGATGGATTCTTTTCATTTAATGTGAATTCTCTCATTTGTCTTTTTTCTTGATTATTCAACTATTTCAAGACTAAACCATATTTCTTGAGACTTCTGGCCTGGAAAACTTGGAGACACAGTCTATCGTTGGCTTACATTGTGTGTTCTCCATTCTCTTTTCAGAGGCAGACTCGACTGCAAAAAGGCCACGAACCACCATCACTGCTAAACAGCTGGAAACACTGAAGAACGCCTACAATAACTCTCCCAAACCTGCCCGCCACGTCCGAGAGCAGCTATCGTCAGAGACCGGCCTGGATATGCGGGTTGTGCAGGTAAAGTGTATTATTATCCATTAAGGGCTACTCCATTAGTGTTCTGAGTTCATTATCAAGGGACAATTGTGGCCAAACTGGCACAAGCCTACTGTACGAATAAGCGTGTGAGTGTGTAAGTGTGTGTGTGTGTTAGGGGGGGGAATTTACGGCTAGATGGAGTAAAATGAAGTCCACATGAAAGTCAGCCCAGTTTAAGTGCAAGCTCGTTAACAATGCTAAGAGGGCCCCTCGCATATTGTCTGCTGCTGAGGAGCCTCAAGCCGGTTGCTAGGTGGTGGTCATATATATTGTTTTATTTGCAAGGACAAAAGTAGAGACGGAAGCCACTAAAATGCTCCTCATTATTCAGTGAAAGGGAAGGGGTGAAGAGGGTTCACTTAGGGCGGAATATCATTAAGGAGAATGTAAAATTGCTTTTTGTGCCTGTGACGAAAAATTAATACATTTTGTACGTAAGATAAAATAATAAGAAATGTTCATTTTGTATCAGAAACCATATCCATTTGTGAGGTAGTTGACGTGTATGACCATGTGGTGTTTGTGTTTTCAAAAGCTTACATTTACAGTATAGTATAGCACTTAATTCAAAAAGGGGAATAGAGGAAACTGAATAATTGAAACTAGTGGCACGTTAACCTGTCTGCACCTTGGGGTGAGGAGAACTTGTAGCTGGTGCTAAGTTAATTAAATGCGTGATAAATCTGATGAGGATTACTCCTCAGTGTCACGGTTTGGGGTGCAAAGCCGTGTCCAGATAGTCCTTGAAAACGGAATCCTTTATCTTTTTAAGCATAATATCTGCATCAGCGAAAGAGCAGAGGACTTTGCATGTAGATGACTTTGAATTGTTAGGCACAAGGACTAAAAACAATGTTGACTTTTATTGTCCTGAAGAGGTTTATGTAAATAAGGTGAATTAGCAAATTGTCCTAGAAAGCCTTTTGTTTCTGTGTGCTAACAGTGTGTTGTTTACAAAATGAAGAACTTGAGGCAACACAAATGATTGCTGTTCTTTTTATCTTATACCCAAGCTGATGTCTCACTGTTTTAAACAATTACATGTGTTCTTACAAGTCACTCAATCCATTAACAAACAGGACGTCTTTTTCCCTCCAGGTTTGGTTTCAGAACAGGCGAGCTAAAGAGAAAAGACTGAAGAAAGACGCCGGTCGGCAGAGGTGGGGGCAGTACTTCCGCAACATGAAGAGGTCACGAGGAAGCTCCAAATCTGACAAGGACAGCATTCAGGAGGAGGGCCTGGACAGTGACGCTGAGGTGTCCTTCACAGGTACAACCACACAAAGTGAATGGGCGATTTTAGACACATTTTAACAAGCTAACTGACAACACACTTGCAAAACGGGCACATTTTCATGCTATGCAGTCATAGTGTTGTTGTGTTGTTGTGCTGCCCTTGCCTTTTTTCCCCACGCTTTGTAGATTATTTGAATCAATAATTGAGATATTGAGGATGTGACAATACTATCCAAGCTAGCGAAGCACAAATGTTAAGGAGATGGTAGGATAAATGTACCAGGAATCAGTTATTTTCACTGTGGATTATTACAGTTTTAGTAACCTCACTCTTGTCATGTTTTTTTACAGATGAACCACCCATGTCGGAGCTGGGCCTCACTAACGGAATCTACAGCAGCCTGAGCGACACTTCTCCGGGCATCGGGGGCCGTCAAGGCGGCAACAACCACAGCTCCTTCCCCCTGGAGCACGGGGTCCTCCCCTCTCAGGACCAGTTCCACGACATCCGCTCAAACAGTCCCTACGGCCTCCCTCAGTCGCCGGGGTCGCTTCAGGTTCTTCCCCGACACCAGCCCCTCATCTCCAGCTTGGTCTACCCTGACTCCAGCCTTTCCATCATGACCCAGGGCAGCGGGCCTGGTATCAACCCCGGGGTGAGGGTCTCCATGGGGGCTGCCAACGGCCCCAGCTCAGACCTCTCGACTGGCAGCAGCGGAGGATACCCAGACTTTCCTGCCAGTCCTGCCTCGTGGTTAGATGAAGTGGACCACGGGCAGTTTTGATTGGTCAACATTAAGAAATTGGACTCTATTTCTTCTTTTTTTTAGTTTTCTGTGTCTTCTGTTGGATTTAAGGAGTTGGGAAATCAGGGCAGTGATTGTGCAAAGGACTAGACTGCTGTCTTTGGATCTCCAAATGATCTGATAAACAGATTCATTTAAATCTGGGATATTGATGAAAGGAAGGAGGAAAATGTCCTCCATTAAAAGCACTTTGCTTAACAATTGTCCTTCAGTATTAAAAACTGTATGTAAAGCAAGAAATCTGTGAAAAAAATGCTGTTTTCAGATACCACTATAAGCTTTTTCATCAATGAGACTCTTTCTTTCATTTGGATTTTCACCAACTCGCTCTCTTTGTTTTCTACACTGTGTTTAGGGGGAGAATTCAGTTTACCGTTCAGAGTCTTTAAATGTCTGGTTGTTGCCAAATGTCTATATATAAATATATAATGGTTTATCATTGCGGAGACTTTATTTTTATACAAACCCCCTTCCTGGACATGAATAAGAAACCCAGATATGAGGACTTTGTACATTCTTAAACAGGGATCTAGGCAAAATGTAGATGTTGTCTTAAATGGTACCTAGGGGTCCAATTACTTCTATGCATTTGTGTGTTCTCAGATGTATCTCGTTTGTTTTGTTCTACAGAAAACAACCCCAAGGAAGAGCTTGCTGTATAGCACATGGGGTTCGATGTATATGTTTGTTTATGTGGAAAATGTTTTATGTCTTATTTATTCCCTCTGGTAATGATGATGACGATGATGATGATGATTCCTGGTTAAATGGCAGGACTTTAATAAATTTGTCACCTAAATTAACAATGGAGTTCTATCCTTTTTGGTTGAATTACAACATTGTGCAACTTGTATTAATTTCCTACTAATTTAAAATGTGTGCCAGGAAACATGAGACCACGGGTAGATCCATCCCTGTCTTATATCGTGCATCCATCTATCGTTTGCATTTATCTATAGCTCTGAAACAAGAGCACACCCACAGTTCTGCCTGTGTCTGCAAATTGAGTATCTGGCTAACTACCAACACTGTATCAGGGGTTCAACGGCTCTTTAGTGGAGAAATTTGATGCAGACAGAGTCAACTCATCAATTCAGAGATTACTGGGTCTTGTTTGCCCAAATGCCCCTATGGGAAAGGAATCTCCAATCCATTAGCCGAGAAGGGATCAAGTGCCCCTTGTGAATTTCCTCATTTGTTTAGTTATTCAAAGTCAGGTTCAATTAAGTAGATTAAACAGTATATGTGTGGGTGGGCGCGTGAATGAGTGTGCGTGCGTGTGTGTGTGTGTGTGTGATTGTATGTTTATGTATTTGCTTTTATAATGGCGTGTGACATAAATGCCTTAGGTGATTATTAAGTGATGCATTTTAAACCTTTTACTTTATTTAACATTTATTATAATGTGTTTCTAAAACCAAGACTGGGAGAATTTTGTTTATTTTGGACAACCAGAAGTGCTTGGATGAAGTAAGTACTTTTTTTATTCTCAGTATATTACATTTACTTCATTTCTGGAGGAACATTGTACTTTCTACTCCTCTACATTTACAGCTATAGTAATATTTGACCTCGTACACAAGGATTGAACATAAAACACAAAACAAAACACAAGATATACAAGTATACATTTAACTTTCAAGCAGAATAGAAAGTAATACAAATTCCCCCTGCATAGTCCAGCAATATTACAAGGCTTTCTTCACATACATTAATTGCTATAATTGTCAAACACTCTGAGGGGGAAAATATTTGAGAAGTTTTAATTTTGAAACTTTATTGTAAGTATATTTGCTTTTAGTTATTCTCAAAGCCTTAAAAAGTAAATAGTGTTGTGTTCCTATTGTGTTTCTAAATGCACTAATGTCTTCCTGCATGGTCGTGCAGCTTTTTTCTGTAAAGTATGACATGCATGAAGGTGAGAGCCAGCTGTCCTCCGACCTTTTGTTTTGATGTGCAACCTCCAACTTCCTCCCCCGTTAATGGCTGGCTGCTCTGCTCCTCAGGTTCCCACAACAAGAAAAGAAACCCCGCACAGGATATCCAGCTGAATCCTTCCAGCTGAGTGGCAGGTATCATTGTTGCCTCGCAAAAGCCACAGGTGTGTAACTCGACCCAAATGGAGTTTGGCAAAGTTAGTAAGGGGGTGAGAGTGAGTGTAAAAGGCTCTGCTAATCCCCCTAGATACCCACCTTGTTCGCTTTTCTAAACTGTTTGTATTTGGGGTTAAACGGGCTGATGTGAAGAATTTTTTGAATGCATGGAATTTGTTTTTTAAACACAGCGGCAGACAGGCTCTGTGACCGAGCCTGTCTGCCGCTGTGTGACACAGCAGGTGTGAGATTTTGGTGACCACGAGATGAACTCTTCTTCGCAAATAACGGGGATTAACCCACCCCACTCTTTCCGATTGAGTTGTAAATCCAGCGTTTTCTGAGTAAAGAATAAGATTAAGTTGGATATGCAATTTGTCAGATGGGTTGTGTAAAACTGGCGGAAGTAGTTTTTAGTGAGGTGTTAGTGTCAGCAGCATGACTGCGGGGAGCTTCACAATAATTAAGTAAATGGTGGGAAAAAAATGTCTTCCGTGATGAAGTGTAGAGCTAAAGATACAGATGCTGAGAGACACAAGATCTGGGTGTATTATACAATGGTGTTAACAAACACTTGTTTAAATCAATGTGTCATCAAACAATGAAATGTTTTTGTTGCACTAAAGAGTAATACAATTATTTGAACAGGAGTAGGCCTATTTATTATCGATTTCATTTGAATGTTAGATATCGCCTCATTGTGAGTCTCATGCAGTATCCCTCATATTATCCGGGATATGAGAAATAGTGCTCAGGTTCACACACTATTACAACTCCTCTTTCAGAATTCGAAATGGCTCAGATGAAAAGATTTAGTTTAGCCCTTACTGAGACAGGACTGTGATTGGATTAGAAATACAAAATCTACCATGTAATTTCTCAGATAGAGCTTTTTTTATTAAAAATATTTAATCCCTGGTTGCTTTAGGAATATTTGGATAACTGGATATATCTCTCAAGATAAGGCCTCGTCCTAAATGTGCAGTGTATTTTAAGATGATAGATAGTAGTCATATATTTCAGTTGAGTTTAAAAAATAATAATAAAATAATTGTGTGTGTATTGTGAGATTTAATATTGTGTTCAGTCTAATTTACTTATGGGTTTAACAATAGTGTATTATTGATTTAAAATGTATAAAAGTAATGAGACAAAAAAAACAACAAAAATGTATTTCTTATAAAGTCACTAGCCCACAAGAATATCACTGGACAAGAAAATCATAAATATAAATTGTTATCCTGATGATTGTTAAGGTTGCCCATTGCTTCACAGCTTCTGTTAAACTGTTGCTTTTGACTGTCCTTTCTGTAAAGGACTCTTAGCCTGGCAGTGTGCCTGTTGTCTCTCACACACACACACACACACACACACACACACACACACACACACACACACACACACACACACACACAGCCCCCCCAGCCCCATGTCAGATGGTGCTGAGTAAATCAGGTCTGACAATAACACCTCCCTTGGGTCCCACACATCACAGCTACAATTCAGACCTAATGGAGCAGCAACGGAGGGGAGGCCGCATGGTGCTTGTGTTGGGGTGTGTGTGGGTGGGTGGTTGTGGGTATATACCACATGCACAAATGTATGCATGAAAGCAGCGTTTCATTTTGGGGGAAAGAAGTGAAGGAGCGCAGAGGATTATCTGTGGAACAAATATCAATCAATTAGGGGAACGTTTAAATGCAAGATCCTGCAGTTAGGGCTTTGGGGCAGTATAGATGCTGGGGAAACTGAGAGGAAAGGATCTTCAGCATACATCAATAGAACATTTTATTATTTTTTTTAGAGAGGACTTAGAATAGTTTGATTTTCAAATAGGAACATAAAAAAGCTAAGCCTAAAAGTTGCTAAATGTCCATAACCAGTCAAGCCCCAAGCCTGTTTTTCAGGTCTCAGGCTCGAAAATGACATTCCCAGAACAAATGACTATATCTTCACTTCTAAAAGGGGTAAATTAATAATCTTTTTTCTCAAAGCAAAGATAAACCTGTGAGTTGGATGTAGAAAAGTCAGAATCAATATTGATGTTTTTATTTTAAAGTAAATTGAACATAGTAAAAAAAAAAACATTACTTATAGTGAAAACCACCCTTGAATGATGGGATAGTAGACAAAAAGCTTTAGGAATCCAAACTATAACATATAATAAGTACCCTGTATCAAGATTGATGCAAAATAAGTGAAATTTGACCTTTTTAGAGAGATTTAGAAAAGAATAACCACTTCTGGGGTCATTTGGGGTCATTTCGGTGCATTTGCCATATCTCTGGAACCCATCGGTCGATTGTGATGATTGACACCTCTTTTTAACCGATAGAGCCAATAGAATCGAGAGGGAAGTTCCTAAATCCATCTAAACATTACCATTGGTGAATGAGTGATGCGCAGCCAGCATGCCCAAAACCGGAAGCTGTCATACACTCTCGTAGCTCTCATAGCAGCTATATGAAAACTCAGTTTTTGACATAAATGTTAATGATGGATTATCAGTAATCATTTCAAAGTGACACAGACACATTGGATTAACCATTGGATTAACCTTCAGCGGCGTTTTTATGCGTTTTAATGCCATTGAACACAACTTTTGATCAGAAAACAGGAACGGCGTATTTGCCGTTTTGGCCCTGTAAAGCTAAGTTGTGTGTTGTCTGGTTTCGCCCTCGCTGCCCTGAGTTTTGTGTCGCACAGTGATGATACTTATACCCAGGGGTGCACATAACTGGTACGCAGGTACACATGCGCGGCAACAATCTGAAATGCGTACCGTCACTTGTGTCACAAAGCGCATTTGCGTACCGACGTAAATGTGAAGCTTTTCCAGAAGGCGGTTAGTTCACCGGACGACAGAGTCGGTCTCCGTGTGCACAGACAGGGCTGCTGTTAACGTCGGTCTGTACAGCAGCCCTGCGCTAAAACAGCTGATCACAACATTCACACGCTCCGCGGTCACGAAGCTCTGTACTCTACTACCACCCCCCCCCCCCCCCCCCCCCCCCCCCGTTTACAATCGCGAAGCACTGTACTCCACTGACGCCACCCCCCCCCCGTTGACAATCGCGAAGCACTGTACTCCACTGACGGCACCCCCCCCCCGTTGACAATCGTCAGAAGTTGGAGTACCAAACACTGACTCCAGGTACTCATCTGAGTACCTCACTGAGAAAGTTGTGTGCACCCCTGCTTATACCATTTGTTTGTGCAGAATCGATGAAGTATAACGTATTTCTACCGTGAGTTATGTGCTAAGTGCGTTAGCACTCTTTCGCTTAGTGCTAATTCAGAGGCTTGGCGTTAGAGTTGTGTTTTGTTTTGGTAAAAATGGTTCATATTGTCCGATAGCTGAGTTTCTTCCCGTTAAGTGGGTATGACACATTCATAGTTTGTTAAATGTTCAGAAGCCCTCAGACGCTGTTTCTTGCAAGATGTTGCCCCCGGTACCGGGGGCATGGGGCTTAACAGAATAACTGGTGAATTTATATGAATATGTTTTGCTTTTATGCTGCAAACAAACTGCAAACACAGCACTGACCAACAAGATACTTTTGTTTCTGTAGATTAATGGCAGCAGCAGCATTAACTAATCAACACGGTCATTAGCGTGTTTTCACTGACAACTTTAATCAAATCTATCACGGCTCCACCTCTCCATTACCCGCCGGCACCATAATTATCTCTTCATTTCATTCTTAGACGGG